CAGCAATACTCCTGGTCATTTCATTCTATGGAAACCAGGACAAGCCCCAGTTGCATAGGCCACTTAGCTAGAGTACAGACACATCTCCACAATGGCTGACTCCTCTGTTTCCAGGGAAGCAGTTTGTGGAGAGGTTAGAGTGTATTCCTGTTTTCAACTGTGCTTTTTTTTTGGTGAAGTACAAAGTTTTTTTTAATAAACACTGGTCGCTTTTCGGAGGTCATCAATTGATTGTTTAAGTAATGTATTCCTAGCTCAGTAAGTTAACTTTTTGTTATCGTAAGCTGTGTGTGTTGTCTGTGTGTCTGTTTGTGTGTGAGCTTGAACAAATTGATTTAAAATTTGTAATATTGTTATCCCCCTCGTTAAGCATAGGTGCTTTTGGGGAAAACGATGAAAAATATGTTTAAATAAAAAAACAAAGTATTTTCAATTCTTCACTGTTACTTACATAACGCAGCCATACTTTGACGTAACGTTCATCGTTCTTGTATCTTTCTTCATCTTTGAATGTTGTCATGCAGCGTTCGAGTAAACTCCCCAGATCTCTACCGCCTTTGGGAAAGTTTTCACTCGTCCAAACTATGTACCTGTAAGCATAAACACAACAGTAATAACAGCATACCTTCAATGCATTATCTCTTATCTTACGTTGTACAAAAGCACATACAGAGGACGCTGGTTTTGACATTGCAGATCTGTTATTATTTTCAATCACATACCTGTACCAATTAGCTAAAGGGTCTTCGCCTTCATACGTTCTGATCTGCGCTTCAAACTCGCTAAAATGAACGAAAAGGATACAAATAAGTGTTTTTGATCGATCAAGTTCTTCTTTTAAGGATGTACAATGAAATAACTTACCGTTTCTCTTTATGAATTCTACTCTGATCAACAGAACTAGGAGCAAGAGCAGTGCTCAAGTTCGCCATCTTGCGCCCTTGTTTCAGAGGCTGCACGTTTTCCTTACTCAACTCCCACTCATTAGAATTAAAGGAATCGGAGCTTGCTTCCATTTTGTAAAAAATATATTACCTTCCGGTGACTGTAGAAGGAAGAAATGAAGCTAAAATTTTACAACTTTACAAAGAAACGAAGGACAACATCAATATAAAGCGTTGAGTTCAAAATTTCCCGCCGTATGACCGCAGTTCAATTTGATCGCTGGTGCGTAAAGAGGAGAGCATTGTGGGTATGGTATGATTTTAAAAAAAATGAACATGGCGGAAAAACATGCACTTCATGAAAGTGATGAGGGTTATGCCGAAAGTGGGTACGAAAATGGCGGTTTCAAGCGACAAAAACTTGCTTCAGGCGAGATTCATAGAACATATCAGGCTGGAGGGGGTGGGAATCCGCACTATACGGATCCCTCGCCAGTTATTCACGTTCGTGGAGTTGCAGATGAAGCCCGCGAACAAGATTTGATGCACGCTTTGTCTTCATTTGGTCCAATCAGGTATATAACAACTGAAAGAGAGTCTTTATTTCCTCTTTGTTTTTCATTCACGAAGTGAATTCGATGCCTGAAAATTCCTAGATGAACGTGAAAGCAAAACCATATTGTGCGACAAATCGAAGCAGCGATCGTGCGCCCAAGTCAATTTTATGCTATCAACTAATTACACTGAAATTGACCATCTGGTATTGTTCGAGCAAACCCTTTTTCGTACGGCCTTTTACGGACCCTTTGGATTCTTTTCTTTACCAAAATTACGTTTTTCGTTTTAGTTGTGTAACGATGATGCCGAAACTGCGACAAGCACTAGTGGAATTTGACGTAAGTAGGCTACAAAGTAAAGTTACATTTCATTTCCTGATAAAATTTAAGCTTCGTGTAGGGCCTCTACTGGCAAATTCGCCATGATATTGCTCTCAAAATAAGGACCATGATATTTCGTATTAACCAGTATTCGCTTGCGCGTTTTATTCATCCTATCTATTTTAGTAACAACACAGACCAACATGACTAGGATTTAATTTTTCATCATGAAATTCCCTTCGTTTTTTCTCTTATTTTGTGCGTGTGCACAAAACAACTGCAGATTCTTGAAAAAGACCCCTTTTTACTTTCTTTTTATTTATGGTTTTTTAATTTGAAGTTGTTGGCACATATATATTACTTAAATCATTCACGGATTTATGGACAGTTTTTAATACTGGATGAGTAGTCTAAAAATAACATGACTTTTCTCTGAAGAGAGAAACTCCACTAAGGATTTTCTTGTTGAGGCAAAACAACTTAGAGGGAATTTTGTAGATGAAAACAAAAGTTATGTCAAAATGGGTTCAAACTAGTTTAACCCATTAAGGTCCTATAAGAACTGTGAGGGGAATTACTAACAAGATCTTGGGAGTGAAA